AACGGATGGGACTGGGACCACCGCTTTGAGGTGACAATATAGATACATTATTGTCGAAATATATAGTAATATTTTTGTATGATGCGAAAAGATTAATATAGCGGAATCGTAGAACGGCATGACGATCTTGATGCTGGCGGCACGACGGGGTAACCTCAACATCGTCCAACGCGCCATCGAAGCTGGGACCGACTCCACATTGCAAGACCACGTAATATATATTACTCTCGTAGGAATATATATGTTCAGGGCGACGTTGAAACACGTAGAATGGCAACACCGGTCTCATTTGGGCAGCTCGGCATGGGTATTTGAAGATTGTGCGTCTCTTGGTGGTGGGTTATAATCCCAAGCTCGAAATCCGCGGCGAAGTACGAAAACCATTTAAAAAATCCCCAGTTTCCACCAAACCCTCCTAGTTCCACCGCACGGCGTTGGACTGGGCATTGGATGCCGCCCATTTTGAAGTCGCGTTGTACTTGATTGGTCAAGGAGCCGAGTGGAACGTCATCTGGCAGGTATATTATATCCATCTATCCGTCCAGCGTACGCAACCAACTTGTACAGCAACGCGTTCGTAACTACTGTAGGGCAAGCCGTTGATCCAAACCCTAGCTCCTCACCTAACCGACTCGTACGTGGCCGCGACGATGCTGCTGCGCGACCTGCCTCTTCAGGTCGTAGACGGCCTCGTCGTGGGCAGGATCGGCCACTCGTTCACGTGGACGACGTTCTTGGACCCGTCGCTGCCGGTGGACCCGCGGGTGCGCGCCAAGGCGGTTGTGTCCGTGCTCTCTCACCGCACGTTCCGGACGGCGACACGCATCAGAGACGTGTACGCAGGCCTGGCGACTGCCGCCGACCGCCACGGCCGCCTCGTTCGCCTCGTTATCCAGGCGTGCGACGCCCACATCCGGACCATCTTCCGGGACCGGCTGTACTTTTGCAAACGGTTCGAGCTCTTCGACGGCCCGCCCATCCACATAAGTCCCTCCGCCGTGGTGATATATGCGTACGATCATGGGCTGGGCGGCCAAGTGTTTGACGAGTATGCAGATGACGACGGAACTCTGGACGAGGCCGCGTTCATCCAGTGTAACCAGGTGCTAGGACGCGAGTCTACGGATCGCCAGGCCAAGGTACGAGTGGTCTGCCTAGCTAGTAGTACTAGTACTAGTACTAGTTCCTGTCTGACGGAGGCTACTACTAACATAGCACGAGGACTCGGAGTGGAAGCAATGGCACGCCGAGTTTGCATTGTGGGACAAGGACGGCAACGGGGCGCTGACAAAGTCCGAGTTTCTCACGTTTTGCCATCAGAGTTTTGGCGGCAAGGTCAAAGTGGCAATGAAGTTTATGAAACACCAGGACGAGTACACGCGGGAAGTCCAGACCCGACAACAGATGGAGCTGCAAAGTCACGCTTCAGCTGGGAGCATGCTGCTGCGATTGCTGCCGACCGTATCCCCCCAAGTGTTTGCCCAGCATGTGACAACGCTCACGGTCCACGACAAGTCCATGGCTGAGTACGGGTTTGTGCTGGTCATGCCGCCGGCCGATCGGAGTCTGGACGACATCGCAGCCAAGGAGCGACCTAGTGCGACGTTGGTGCAGAGCATGCTCAGGGACGTGGTCGTGGGGCTGCAGCACATGCACAACGCGGGGCTCGTGCACGGCGACGTGAAGAAACTGAACGTACTCAGGGTGCACAACCAGTTGAAACTGATCGACTTTGACGCTACGACCGAGCAAGGGATGCCAGTGGGCGTCAAGACCAGCTCGGGGATCCTCCCTCCAGGTCATTTTTTCCATAGATTCGTGGGGGCTAATAAAAGGCTTGGATATAGAACTGTTTTACAGGTACCGCCCAAGTCCACACGACAGAGCCATGTCCGAAGCATATAGTCACGGGGGGGGGGCGTCGTCGTCGGAGGTCGTTGCTGGGAAACGATCGCCGCAATATGTTGTTCGGTCGTTCGTATTTGGTCGGCCGGACGAAACGCCATATGATTTGGTCCCAGCGGCGCCGTCGCTCGACATGTGGTCGTTCGGGTGCATGCTGTACGAGATGGTGACGGGCGTCGAGTTGTTTCCCACCGATGTCAACCAGAACGTCGTCGCAGATTACATTGAGACAGCGGCCAACTGGACGGACAAGCAGCTGGAGGCCAGAATTCGAGCGAATGTGGGTGTGGGCCACGACAAGGCGGTGGACCTGCTGCTGCATCTGCTGGTCGTGGACCCAACCAAACGGTGGAGCGCGAGTCAAGTGCTGATGCATCCGTACTTCACGGGCCGCGATCTCACCCTTGTGACCAGTTGCAGTATACTCGACCAACTGCACGAGTTAGTACAAGTTCAACATACCGTGCAAACCCACCACGACGAGATGGCGGTGGAGCTGCACGACCAAGCCTCGAACGACCTGACGCATCACCTGATGACACTGCACGACGACGCCACGACGAGCCTCCTCACAGGGCTGTTTGCAGCACAGGAAGATGGGGACGTCCCGACTTCGTTTGTGGTGCTGCCGTTTGAGTTGAACCAGTCCGAAGGGTCCGAGAGATTTGGGAAGCCTTTGGAGGTTGCTCCGAAGGCGGACGATCGCGGGGCAGAGGCGACTCCCCTTCCACGAGCGTCCATGTTTGTGTATCTGGTGGACGAAAGCACTGGCCAAGTGGTGATTCCAACTGAAAATGACGACGACGTGTACCCTATCCATGTGACGGTCTCCAACCACGGTTGTAAATGGCTCCAGCAAGTGTTTCAAGGGCTAGCCAAAGCGTCGGACTGGGTCGGGTGGACAGACGACGTCAAGAGCTGGCTTCCCGAAGGGGAAGATGGAAGTGACCCAACCAAGTGTGATGCGGTGGGCAGGGCTATGCTGAGTGGTGGAGTTGGAGACCAAGTTGTTCGAGTACACGGGGCGGCGCTGCGAGAGTGGAAGCAATTTCTGGACCAGCACGACCCCAACCATACGTTCTGCAACCTCCACCGCACGTTGACACCTGACGGACGGATTGTGTGGACGACAACCCCACAGACTCCATAAACTAGCTAGCGCTTTCACTTTAGCAACAACTTCAACTATTATATACGTATAATACATGATGTAATTAACTGTAAATATATACTACTATATCGACGTGGCACACTCATACATTGCTGACTGGTCGTCGGACTCGATGGTGTTTGTGGTTGCGGCGCTGTTGGATCGAGTTGCTGGAGCAATCAGTTCGTACAGTCCATTGCCGCAGGATGACGCTCGTCCAGATTTTGACTTCAACGGCGCGACCGCGCAAGGCTGGTGTGATGTACCTAACCTGGCGGGCTAGGATTGTG